CCCCTCCGTGCCCAGGCTCCTCTCCAAGATCCTGAGTGAGTGTGAGGATGCCGATGAAATTGAATACCTGGTAGATGGCTCATGGTGCCCAATCCGTGCCGAGAAGGAGCGCAGCTGCAGCCCCCAGTGCCCCATCCTCGTACTCGGTGAGTCCCTGACCCAGCCCCCAGCTGCTCCTTCGTTTGCCCCAATACCTATTCTGGGGGGTTGACGGTTTCTGAGTTTGACTTGTGTCCTGCTGTGTGACATTTTCATCTAAAACACAGCTACCCCAAATGAAAAAAGACCAAGAAAACCAAAAAGGAAAAAAAACCAGGAGCCCTGGCTAGATAGTTCACTTGGTTAGAGCATCATCCCGATATGCCATGGTTGTGGGTTCGATCTCCAGTTAGGATACATACAAGAATCAACCAGTGGCCCTAGCTGGTTTGGCTCAGTGGATAGAGAGTTGGCCTGCGGACTGAAGGGTCCCGGTTTGATTCTGATCAAGGGCACATGCCTGGGTTGTGGGCTCACTCCCCAGTAGGAAGCATGCAGGAGGCAGCCAATCGATGATTCTCTCATCGATATTTCTATCTCTTTCTTCCCCTCTCTCCCTCTCTGAAATCAATAAAAATATATTTTTAAAAAATCAACCAACGAATGCATAAAAATAAGTGGAACAACAAATTGATGTTTTTCTCTATCTCCCTTCCTCTCTCTCGCTCTGTAAAATCATTACATAAAACATTTTTTAAAAACGAAAAGGAAAAATAAACAGCCATCCCCACAGAGTGGGTCCCATCCCCTCCGAGTGGAACAGACCAGGGCTCAGAACTCTGCACTGCAGGGAGCACAGTTATTTAGCACCTGCTGTGTGCCAGGTCCTCTACAGGGTGCTCCCCAACGTCAGGAGGCCTCTACACGAGGCAGAAATGGTATCCCAGGATTGCCCCTGCCCCTTGCCACCTCATTTCCTCATTCGGTGGGCCTGCAGTCCTGAGCATCTGTCCCTGTCACCCTCAGGCACCTCAGACACCAATGGGCTCCTATCCAGCCCCAACGTCAACGGTGGCGGTGGCAGCATGCTTGGGGGCTCTGGAGGCGGGGGCGGCACAATGGGCAGCATTGAGAACGGGAAGCTGGGAGCTGACGTGGTGGACCTTACGCTGGACAGTTCCTCGTCTTCAGAGGAAGAGGAGGAGGAAGAGGAAGATGAGGAGGACGAGGATGAGGATGGCCCCCGGCCCAAGCGCCGCTGCCCCTTCCAGAAGGGCCTGGTATCGGCCTGCTGACCGATCGTCACCCACCACCAACTGGTCGGACACTCAAATTTTCCTGGTGCTCACCACGCAGAGGGGTGCAGGCGGGCCTTGGGGTGCAGAGGGAGGAGTGATTTTTTTTTCTTTTTATTGTTCATATGGTTTTCCACCCCTTTCCCTGGATCCTGGCACCTGTACCTCTGGACTTTCCTATTGGAGGATTAAAAAAAAAAGTAAAATTACAAAAAAAAAGTACAAAAGAGAAAAATGAAACAAAAAACAAACTCTTAAAAACAAGACGAGCCACCCACACAGCTGTTTCCCCAGCAGGAGTCAGAACCCAGAAGAGGGGTGGGCAGGACACTGCATCCTCCCAGATGCCCCACCTCTTCTGATGACCATTCCAGCTGGTACAGAGGGACCTGGGGCTGGTGGGGGCAACAGGGAGGACAGGGGCTCCCTGACAGCAGCCACGACTTGGACATTCATGTTCCTTTGCTTTTCTTCTCTCTGTGAACTGTCCTCTTGCCCAGAGACCCTGGCATGGGCCTCTGAGCAGTGAGAGTTTTAGCCAAGAAGCCATGGAGTGGGTTGGGGTGGGGAGGGGCGATGGGGGCCGTGAGCAGGTGGGTGGGGGTGGGCTAGGGAGGGCTTAGCCACAGATGTGTTGTATTTTTTGAAAGTGCAATAACTTGGTATTTTGAAGACCCAGCATGTGGCCAGAACCCCCTTTGAGGTGGGGGCTTCAGGGTGTGGCACCGTGTGGCGTGGGGGGTCTCAGTTCTTTAGCCAGCTACCTCGGTAACTCCAATTCAGGTTAACTTCCCTACGGAACAGTGCAGATGTCCACGGGTGCCACCGCCGGGAAGGTGGCCACCTCTGAGGGGCAGCAGGGACTCCTGCCCCGTCCTCTTAATTTGGGGTGGTTCCTTCCCCTCTTGCTCTTGGGTTTTCCGACGGGTACGAGGCCTGCCCTGCAGCCCCTCCCCCTGGAGCCTCATACTCGTCTTCCAACAGGACTGGGCTAGGGGCCACCCTTTAGCAACCCAATTAGCCTTGGGGGTGGTCCAGCAACCATGGGGCTTCCATAGCAACCCCAGATGCCTCCAGGGACCTGCAGCTGGGTGCTTGGCCCACCACCCAGCATCCTTGCCCCCCTCAGAAGCCACAACACCCCAGACCACTTCTGCCTGCCCTCCTGTTTTGCTTTTTCTCTTCCCTGTCCTTTCCCCACCAACCCCAGAATAATTTTTCTTTGTATAAACAACTCTACTAGTCAGGAAGCAATATCATTTCAGGTCTAAAGACAAAAAGGACATAAATCTGGTCGAGGGCAAATTCAGTTTTACTGTATAAACTCAGTTGCGCAGTCCAGCCTCCCTCAGTCTGCACTGGCAGCTGAAGGCCGCTGTTTTCTAATATTTGTATTCTAATTTAATTGTTTTTTTAAAAATGCAAATAAAAAGGTCAAGGTGAAGCCACCATGGCATCCGCTTTTCTGTGTGTCTGAGGTGTCAGCTGGGGGCAGGGACCAAATGACAAAACACCTCCCCATCCAGTTTTTTCTCTGCTGCATGATGTTCAGAATTCAAAAGGCACCACATTGGGTCAAATGAGGAGGATTTCACTTTGAACTGCCTGGCCCAGTGTCCATCTGCTGGGCCTGGTGAGGCAGGCATTAGGCTCCCAAAAAGATGCTCAGCGTCCTGTCACCAGGAAAATGCAAATCACAACCACTAGGAGGGCTAGATCTAAGAGCAACAAGTGCTGGTGAGGATGAGGACTGGGACCCTCCTGCACTACAGGTGGGAACATAAGATGGTGCAGCTGCTGTGGTAAGTCCGGCAGTTCCAAAAAGTTAGCCCAGTCAGTGTGGCTCAGCGGTTGAGTGTACGGGAGGCAGCCCAAGGATGTTTTTCATCAGTGTTTCTTTTAAAAAAAAAAAGATTTTAGAGAGAGGAGAGATAGCAACATCAATGATGAGAATCATCAGTGGGCTGCCTCCTGCATGCCCCCTACTGGGGATCGAGCCCGCAACCCCAGCATTGTACCCTGACCAGGAATCAAACCATGACCTGGTTCATGGGCTAAGTCTCCACCACGGAACCACACTGGCTGGGCATCTTAACGTTTCTATCTATCCTCCCTTCCTCTCTAAAATCAATGAAAACTTTTTTAAAAGAAAAGATGGAGTTACCATCTGACCCAGCAATTCTACTCTAGGTATCTCCCCCAAGGGAAATGAAAACCTACCTTCTCAAGAAAAGTTGTACATGAATCTTCCTAGCAGCTTTACAATAGCCAAAGGTGGGAACAAGCCCAATGCCCGTCAGCTGAAGAATGGCTAAAATGTGGCCCATCCATGCCCTGGAACACTCAGCCACGAAAAGGAATGCAGCACTGGCCCTCGCTACAGCGTGGAGGAACCTTGAGCACAGGATGCTCAGTGAGAAGCCAGACACAAAAGACCACACAGTGATTCCACTGATGTGAAATGTGAACAGGCAAATCCACAGAGACAGGAAGTGGGTTAGTGTCAGGGGCGGGGGGAGGGAAAGGGGAGTGACTGCTGATGGAGAGGGGTCTTCTTTTTGGGGGGATGGAATGTCCTGAAACGAGATGGTGGTGGTGATTGCAAAATTCCCAATATGCTACCACCAGTGGTTTTATAAGGGGGAACTATACGTGAATGAGATTTCAAAACCCAAAGCCCCTCTCCCTTGGGAGGGGATGCGGGAATGTGAGTGCAGAGGCCACATGGACTGGGTGGCTGTTGAACCTGCTTTCATCGCTGTCCTGATCAGAGGCCTCTAGTTCGCCCTGTGGCTGGTTCAGGTTCCCTCGGTGTCTGGCTGTCGAACCACTGTCCCCCCTCCCCTCAGTCCAAGTTGGAGACCTGTGTCTGCCATGTGACCACACGAGTGCAGACCTTGCCACTGAAGGACAGCCGGAGGCCCTCCCCAAGCCCTGCACTTGGTGGTCTTTCCCACCCAGGGCCAGGCCAGCCCCTACAGATTCCCTGTGGCTGCTATGAAAATCCACTTCAGAGTCCTGCTTGTCCTCTCCCAGGCTGTGACCATGGCCGTCTGTGCCCCCTGGTGCCACTGTCACCCACCCTAACTCCAGGCCCTGCTGGCCTGAGTCCAACTGAGGGATGGGAAGGAGGAGGGTTCTCCCCAGGGCCCTGTAAGTGGCCATGTTTGGTGGCCCCACCCAGAGATGGGGCTGCAGCACACAATTTTCCTCGCCAGTGAACGGGCCCTAGCCCAACCTTCTCCCTGGGGATGTGGAGGAAGCAGCCAGCTCAGCTCCTTGATCAGGTCACTGGGGCCCAACAGGGGCTGCACCTTGGAGGCCCCTGGCAAACTTAAGAGTTCCCTGTGTAGGCCACCCCACCCAGGGCCTCCAGAAACCTTGTAGGAGGCGGCCAAGGAGCCCGCTTAGCAGGTTCTTCCTGCCTGCCCCCACTGTCCCTCAGGCCCCTTCTTGGAGCCACCTGCCCTCACCTAGGGGTGCCAGACACCTACCCCACCCTGGAGCCCAGAGGCAAGAGTCACTGTCCAGACCCCTCCCTTCCCCACTTCACCTCCCAGGCCTGGCAGGAAGAGTGAGGCTAGCATGGGATCCTCTCTCTGGAACCCAAGCTGGGACCCCCAAGTGCTATAAACAAGGGACCCAACCCATGGGGAAGGAGCCCCTAAGCCCTCCATCCCCACTCCCCAGGCTCCCCCCAAAACAAAACACAAAAGAACATCAAAATCAAGCAAATGAGGCAGCAGCGGTCGTAACAGGCTGCGTTTAGTGGTTTTTTTTATGTACAAGAAAAATGATTTTTGTTTTCACCTTTTGTCTTTTTGTTTTTATTACTTTTAAAGCTTCTCCCCCCACCCCCCAAAAGTGCATATTTACCATTTTTTTTAGATCTCCCACATTTTATAAAGACTCTCAAATACAGTCTATGGAATGTCTGTGCTCTGTGCCCCCAGGGGCGCCACCGCCAACTCCCCATTCACCAGGCCTGGTCCCCCAAAGTCCAAGGCACCTCATGTCTGGGCCTGGGTGGGGTTGGGGGGTACCTGGCACAGGACCCCTGGCCGTTGGCCTCCAGGCAGCCCTGGCCGTGGGATGGGGGTCTCCCCAGCCCCATCTCCTGGTCCTGCCCCCATCCCACCTCCATGTAAATTTATATATTTAGTGCGAGATAGTCTAAACTCTGAGGTTATGACTCCTGGGTGCCCAAGACCCAGGCCGACCCGTCGTGCACCGGCCAACACCACCATTCCAGGAAGGCTGCTTCCTCAGCTTAAATAACTTTTTTAAAATAAAACTGCAAATATAAATATCTTTCTTTCTCAAAAAATAGGATTTTTGCTTTTTTTGTTGGTTTTAATTTTTTTTTTCCTTTCAGTCTCTGTTTTGCCTCCTACAATCCTGGCTGCCTGGATGGCCTCGGTTCTGGGGGCCCTGGCCCCTGCCTCGGTCCCACCATGTGCGACACAGCTGATGGGTCTCAGTAGTGCAGACTCCCCAGAAGACCCAGGTGGGAGCTGGGGGCCCCTCCCTTCCAACCTGAGAACCCCCCTCGGAAGGAAGCAGAGGGACAGCCCTGTATAAACAGGGTGACGAGATGGCCACATGGGGTCTCCCGGGTGGGCTGCCCGAGGGGGCAGGCTTTGGTATGGCCCACTGGAGCCCGGCTGGGCACAGGCCCACACCCATGCCAGGCTGGGCCTGGTCCGGCACTTTACATTCACTGGTTTTTAATTTTAATTTTTTTTTTGCCTTTTTTTTCTTTTAATCTCAAAAGGCAGGGTCAGGGTCAGGGTGGGGGACTAGGCAGGGAGCAGCAGCAAGAACATTTATCTCTCTCTCCCAGTCTGGCAGGCTGGAGACTGATCCAGGTGGGGGCTCAGGGCCCCCCATCCTGCCAGGCCCACTACTCCTGCCCCCAAGCCCCCCCGCCCCCCGCCCCCCGCCCCCATCAGAAGTCCCCAGCCTAGACCTCACTCGCGCACACATGCGCACACACACATCCACACAATTTCACCAAGATGATGGAAATAACAATTTCACTTTGTCTTTTTTTTTTTTGTACCAGGCAGTTAAAAAAAACACCCCAAAGAAAGAAAACACCAAAGAAAACCCCAAACAACCAAACAAAAACACTTTTGCTGTGTCCTTTCCGACCAGTCAGCACGTTCCCCCTCAAATATTTGTTTCCTGAAACGCGAGAATTCAGCAGTATCTTTGGCAACACTTTATCACAACCTTAATTTAAAGAATAAAAATAAAATCGATCCACATCTATATACAGTATGTGATTGCGCAGAGTTAGGGGGCTGGGCCGGGTGGGTGGGTGTCCCGGCTCTGGGCCCATGCAGAGGCTGTGGCCCCCGGGACAGACTGGCGGGCAGCAGAATAGGGGTTAAGGCGAAATGGGTGGGCAGGGCTGGTGAAAGCTGGGTGCAGAGCTAGGGGTAGGGGTTTAGTGCAATTCCCAAGGAGCTTTGTGTTAAAGTGTGCTTGGCGGGGTTCAGCCCATGCCCCCACCATAGTCCCAGAGGCCTCAATTCCCCAAGTCGTCACCCCCACTGGCCAGGACGACGGCTGTGATTTTTCAGTTGGTTTTATTGCAAGGAGGTGTGTGGGTAGGGGAAGAGGGCTTACCCCTCAGGGAACCTCTGGAAGCTGGGGGCGGGGCGGGGGGGGGGGCGGGGGGAGTCCCTGGCCTGGGTGCTCAAGCTCTCTGCTTGGCCTCCACAGATGGTTCTCTGAATCTCGCCCTGTGATGCTGGGGTATGACAAGGCCACCTGGCCCTGGGCTCCCCTGCCACCCCCCTCAGGAGGGGGGGTTCCTGAGACATTTGGGGGGCTGGCGGAGGCCGGGAGGAGACGAAACCTATCCTGTAGAAACAATGATGAAAGTTGCCTTTTTAAAAAGCTTCCCTTTAAAAAAAGAAAATGAAAAAGGAGATAAGAAGATGGGGTTTGTCACAGAGCAAAAGGGTACCAGGAGACGGGCCAGCGACTAGAGGAGGGAGCAGGGGCACCCTACCCCCGACCTTGGGCATTGAGGAGGAAGGATCTCAGCTCAGCAGGATGTGTCTATATACAGGGTCCCACACTAGGCGTTGCATATGCAAGAGAGGGTAAAGGTGCCCTGGCCTCTGGTAACATGGTTTCCCTGCCCTGGCCCCCATCCGTGGCCTGTGGCTCGGTCAACACCGAGCCTTTGGGGAGCCAGGTGCCAGCCCCCAGATGACAGTCAGTGCCTTTGAGTAAAAAGAGGGGTGCTTTGGGGGGTGTAAGGCCCTGGAGGTGGGGCCTCCTGTCACCCACCTCAAAGGGGATGGCATATCCAAGATGGCAGCTCCTCAGTGGCCACAAGGAGAGGCGGGAAGCCAGTAAGTGGTGAGGATGGGGGAACAGCAAGGAGGGAGGGAGGTTGGGGGAACTGGACTGCTCTGGCTGGTTGAAAGGCCAGCCCTCTCTTGGGCCCATCCCTGAGCTAGGAAGTCAGTAAGGAGGGTCCCCACAGACATGGGTGGCCATTGTATGGCCAGTGGGTAATGAGACATCGCTAAATCAGAACCAAAAAAGGGACAGAATGGGAGGGAGTGGGGGACATGGCAGAAATACAAAAACCCCAGTCCTGCCGGCCAGGCAAGCCCCCTGGTGAAGCAGGTTCACCCCGAAAACCTTGGCCTCGCCCTCGTCCCCATGGCCTTCCTGACTCCCTTCAGCCTGGGGCACAGAATTGGATTCTACATCTGTGGTGGGTTTTTTTTTTTATTATTTTGTACAAAAATAAATCAGCTTTTAGGAATCTTTTTGCGCTCTCGCTCACTCGCTCTCTCTCTTTTTATTTTTTTTGTCTTTTCAACTTTTCATAGAAGTTGGTTGCAACTTGTAAACATGTTTTTAAATTAAGATAAAGTATAGTACCCGTTCTGTTACAAAGTGCCGAGACTTCTATTGGGGTTGGTTGTCATGTTTTTGTTTCCTTTCGTTTTGTAAAATCTTTTTATTGCTTTTGTGACATTGGAACTTCTGGACGCTTCTCTCCCTCTTCCCTGCCACCGTAAGACCCTGGGTTCCCCCTGCCCTTGGCTGTCTCACCCACACTGTTGTCTGCTCCTCTGAGGAAAAGTTATATCTTATATATATCTCTCTCTCTTTCTATATATATATATATATAAATTTTGTTTTTATGGAGGAAAAGAGGGGAAAACAATCTAAAAAGTGCTTTAAAAAATTGGAAGAGGGCTGAGGGGAGAGGTGGGGAGGGGGTGAAGACAAGTTTTAAATCTCCAAACTTTAAATGGGGGTCTGAATGACCTGGGTCAGGGGACACAGACAGAGTTGATGGGGGCACTCTGAGAGGTGGCCCCTGGGTGCCCCACTGGGTTTTAAGTGCCATGAAGGAAGGCAACAGAAGCCCCTGGGAGCCATCCTGGTGCCCCCTCTTCCCGTCTTCTCCCCTTTCTCCACACCTGGAAATAAATAGGTTTGTGTTGCAGTGGCCAGGAGATACAGGGGACCACAGACAAGGATAGGAGGCAAGGAGGCTGTGGGGGAGATCGAGGGGGAAGACCCCCACTTAATAAGTGCCCTGAGGAAGGAGGGTGGGGGTAGGTTCAGGGACCATTTTAACGTCCGCTCACAGCGGACAGAAATCATTTAAGGTCTTGTCTGAAAGACTCATAGAAACCAGCAAGGGGAGAAAAACTAAAGCCCACCCCAGTCCTGCCTCGCCCCCTCCCCCCCACAGCAGCCCTCATCCCTGCCCGGAACCTGGGACCCTGCCCAGGTCTCGAATGGAATCCCAGACCCCATGCTGGGGGCGCCCAGTGGGTGGGGGGGACTCAGAACCCGTGTCCCACAAACCCCAAACCAAGCCCCGAAACCCATGGACGGGGTGGAGGGAAAGGGGAGTTGGGGGTGGAGGGCAAGAGTTCCCATGGAGGGAGAGAACTTCATGAAAGAGAAAAATCTGAGAAAAGCACTATCCTAGATCTTGTGATGCTTCATATATATATATCTGTATGTATATATATATATCGATATAGATATCTGTATATAGATAGATTTTTTTGTGTTTTTTGGGGGGTGGTGGGTGATTTTCTCTCTCTCTCTCCTCTCTCTCTCTCTCAGGTTTGTTTTCTCTTTTTGGTTTTCAGGCGAGTCCAGCCGCGAAGCTGCCGTCGGCAGGGTTCCCAGCGGCCCCATCACCACCCCCTCCACCAGCACCCGCTACATTCAACCTGCCCAGGCCATCAGGGCTGGCCTCCTCCTCGTCCTCGTCCTCGTCCTTAAAGTGCTTCTCCTGGCCATTGCGCCGGGCCTCGGGGGAGCCAGGTGGGGCGGAGGCGCTGGGCGGTGCAGTGGCCCCAGGGCCAGGGTCGGGTCCCCCGAGCCCCCCGCCCCGGACTCGGGGCTTACGGCCACGGCGTGAGGGGACGCCATTACAGCCGTCTTTCTTGAGGTGTCTGTGCAGGTGGTCGGAGCGGACGAAGGTCTTGCAGCAGCTGTCACACTGGTAGGGCCGCAGGCCGGTGTGCACACGCATGTGGTTTTTCAGGTCGTAGTTGTGGGCGAAGGCTGCCCCGCACTGCTGGCACAGGTACGGCTTCTCACCTGTGTGCTTCCTCATGTGCACCTTGAGCTTGTCCTGCCTGTGGAGGGGGCAAGGGTCAGTGGGCGCTGTGCTGGGCCCCCTACCCGGACAACCCCCCAACTCATGCTGGCCTTGAGGCTGAAACTATGACCGAAAGGCAGGCTGTGGCTAGGGATAGTTCTGGGTACAATGGGACAAGGAGCCAGAGGCCTCTCAAAGGTCTAAAAAGGGCCTTGGGCCCTGCTTGCTGTGTGGCCTTGGGCAAAAGCTGAACCTCTCTGAATCCCTCCTTATCCATAGGAGGATGGTAACTGGCCTCCTGCCTGGGGCTCTACCACGTCTCCCAGGTGCTCTGCCCAGACCACTGCATGGGGCCAGTCACAGAGGGGGCAGCAGGGACTCAGACTGTGCGAGAATACAGAGATTTCCCCAACTGAAGCTCTGAGAGGGGAAGTGACTTGCACCGAGTTGCACAGCGGGTCAGGGGCTGCAAGGTGGAGTCAGCTCCAGTTTCATCACCCCAAACCGTGGCCAGTGTAATTATAGCCCCGCTGCCACAGGCCCTGCTTACTCAACTCTCTAATGTGACTCAGAGGGGCCTCTGGGCTCCTGGGCCTGGAGGAAGGGGTGGGGGCTGGGGCCCCGGGTCAGGGACAGAGAGCAGCCAGGTGAGTGCATGAGGGAAAGAGGTTTGGCCTGGTCCCTCTATGCTTCAGTTTCCTTGACTGGCAAATGGGATCAGCCCTGGGTTGGGAATAGGATGGCCAAGAGAACTCCAGGTCAGAATGAAATAGCCTGAGGCCTGTGGTTGGGGTCATAGGTCAGCTTGGTCACCTCTGCAGACCCTGGCTTGCTGAGCCCCCACGAAGCCGTTCCTCTCAGGTACAGAGACCCTGAAGGGCAAGGCCCATAGCCATCTCCATGCCCCATCTGGAGGAGGATGGAGCCCCCAAAACTAAAAGAACCACAATCTCACCAAAGGGGTGAGCCAGGCCACCAATTACACTGCTTGCCTCTGGTAGCTGTCCTTTGCCCCCTGCCTGATATTCCTGGGCCCTGCACTCCAGGCCACACCCTCCTGTTCTGGCCTGTAGGAAAGGGGGCCAGGGGTCAGCCCCCAGGTCCTATTCCCAAGGGGCAGAGCTGGGAAGCTGGGACAATGCCTTCTTTCTTCAGTCTGGGTGGGTGTGGCTGGGGGAACCCCAGGGTGGGTGGGGGTAGGGGGTGGTGCTGAGTCACCCAGCCTGGCCAGGCCCCTGCACGTCAACCCCTCCACCCCCACTAGACTGGCCTACAAGGCCCAGTCAGCTACCTCTGGACTTTTAAGACCAAATCACAAATTTCCCCAGCCAGACCTCAAACTCCTGCCCAAGGACCAAGCCCAGTGGCTCCTGTGCCAATTTCCCTCCCCTGACTGCAGTGGTCCCCTGAGCTGAACTGGTCTCAGAGTCCTTGTACTGGCTGTTCCCTCTGCCTGAACCTTCCCCCAAGACTCCTTCCCTCACCTCCTTCAGGTCTCAGCTCTGTTTAAAGCAGCACCCACAGCCTTCCCCTCCCTTTGTTCTCGGCTCTCTTCACGTTCCACCAGCTAGTGCTATCAGTTCTTTGATTTTATCTCACGCAAGCTTTGTCCATGGGGATTTTGGCCTATCTCTCCACTTCTGCATCCCCAGCGCCTAGAACAGGGCCTGGCACCCAGAAGGTGCCCCATAAATGTTGGCCGAATGAAGTAAGTTTCCAGACTCACAGGAGACTTAAAGTGACTCAAACAACTGAGCTCCCTGCTCCCTACTAGGCTGTTGGCCTCTCCATCCCAAGAACCACGTCTGGGAGAGAGCCAACCCTGTGCTCCTTCTCCCGGCTCCCTAAGCACCACCTGGCATGTTTTATGTTCTATGCAGTCATTGGTTTAGTGCCTGCACCCAAAGGCTGCTCTGAAGGGACACACTGGGGGAGGGCACCCCAAAATGAATAAGGTGCTGCTGCCTATGTCCCTGGAGGCTGTGTGTGTGTGTGTGTGTGTGTGTGTGTGTGTGTGTGTGTCTGCACGTAGCTGCAATTTGAGCAAAGGACCCAGGAAGCCACCCAACACCCTCCACCCCCGCCAGTGGCGCTGGCTCACCTGGTGAATCGGACCTTGCAGATGTTGCATTCATAGGGCTTCTCACCGGTGTGGGTCCGGATATGCCGCGGGAGCTTGCCAGCGCCCTGGATGACCTTCTCACAGATGGGGCACTTCTGGAAGGCCTTGGCCCGGATCTTCTTCTCCACCTTCTGTGACCAAGCCGGGTAGACGTCGCTGTCATGGGTACTGCTGAAATACTTCAGATAGTAGTCCATGACACCCTTGTCGTCTGCCCTCGACTCGTCGTCGCTGTCCCCCGCCGCCGCTGACCCCGCCCGGCCCACCGACGACATCATCTGTTGTAGCAGTGTGCTAGCCGCAAGCCCGTCCGCATCGGTCCCATCGCCGTCCTCACCCTCAGCTGTTCCCGACAGGAAGCCAGGAGAGTCCCCTGCTTCTGGGGCTACTTCTGACAGTGAGACCTCCTCCTCCCCACCCCGGCCATAGTGGCCGTTCTGTGTGGCAGCTGGAGGGGCCACGGAGGGTGGAAAGAGGCCCCCTGCAGGGGTATCCTCATCCCGCTCTGGCCACAGACCCGGGTTGCTGTCGCCCTCATCCCCATCCCCGGCTGGGGGCCGCTCAGCCGGGGGGCCAGGTCCATAGAAGTCCAAGCCATTGCAGTCACCTGCAGCCACGGCAGCCACAGCTGCAGCCACGGCCTCCTTGGTGGCGTCCAGGTCATCCTCAGATGCGCCAAAGGCTGACCATGGAAAGCTGGCGGCGGCGGCGGCTGCAGCAGCGGCTGCGGGGGGCAGGCTGTTCATGGGGTTACTCTGGAAGAACTCGAGGTACTCCTTGGCACGGAGGAGGTTTCGCTGATCAATTTGATCTACCAGGTCCAGCTGCCCAGCATCAGTGCCCGCATCGGCTGCCAGGATCTGCCTGTCAAGGAGGTCGGCGCAGACGTGGCTCACGGCGGGTATCTCCAACAGGCGGGCAGCACTGAGGATGTCACTCACGTTGGCTGTGCTGACAGTCAGCGTGGCCGTATAGGCAAAGTCCATGAGAGCTGTGAGCGCCTCGGCACTGACGAAGTCAATCTCGTACACGTTCTGCTGGTCTACCACGGCGCCTGATGTGAACAGCTTCTTGAAGTACTGGCTGCAGGCCGCCAGCACGGAGCGGTGCGTGGGAAACTCTCGGCCCTCCACCAGGATCACCACGTCACACAGCAGGCCTTGTGTCCGCTGCTCGTTGAGCCCACTCAGAATGTCACTGCTGTGGTCGGGGAACGGAATCCCAATGGGGCCGTCCACGCCGCCGGCCATTTTCCGCGCCGAGACCTACAGCACCAGAGAGGAAGGGGTGGTCGTGAATATGGGAGGGACCCACCAAGGCTTAAGAACCTCAGAGTAGTGCCCCACCCTGGTTCCCCAGATGTGCACCAGGGCAGTCCATGTCTGGTTCTGCAGAACGTGAGGTTATGCTAGCAAAACTCACACTGGGTGCTTGAGAGATGAAGACTGGCATCCGCCCCTTCACTAGAGAACTCACAGGCATGCCAAAGGGCAATGTGAGGTGATGTGGGAGCATACAGTAGGTGCTCAATAAATGCCTCAATACAAGTTGTTTCCTAATGAATCTGAGTGCAGGCTTCTACCCATACTCTCTCCAGGAGGCCCTGGTGGTGATATTCACAAGGCTCCTACTGTACACTGTCATGCTTGAGCCCCCGGCAGTCCCATAGGGCAGCACCATCTCTACTGCAGAAGTGTGAAGACAGGGCTCAGGGAGAGGCGGCCATGTGCCCAAGGCCCCATACCTCTGCCCCAACCAATATCCAACTGGCTTGGCTGTGCATCCCCACCAGTCCCCTCGGCCTCTCTGACCCTCACTGCCTCAGGGTGAGGCCGAGTTCTCTTGGGGGCTTCTGAAGCCAAGGCCTAGCTGGGGTCATTGAGGCCATGGGTTTGCCCTGGTGTGGGTGGCAGTGACTCTGAAGGACAAACCCTTTTCTGCCCCACTGGAGCCCCCAGGACAGCTTGGCCCTGGCAGTGAATAATGGGGAAAACAGGCCACCTGACGCTCCCTTCCCCTGTCACCCCAGCCACCCCATCAAGGAGGAGCAGGGGACTAGGGCCTCCTGCCTGCCCAGCTTTCTCCAGCTTTCAACCCTCCGACTGCCCTGTAAAGCCAGGACAAGGCCCTGCCACTTTCTGGGCCTCAATCTCCCCATCTGTCAAATGGGCAGAAGCCTTTGGAAGAGCAGGCCATTGAGAGAACTCTGTCTGTCTGTCCCACCCCTCTCCCCACCCCTCCTTTTTTCCGCCTCCCCTGGGCTGTGACTCATCCACCCACTCGGGCGCTTGTGCAACCCTCTGGCTCCTGTCCCCACCCCTCCACCCTCTCCGGGGAGCCCCCGGCTGTCCCAAGCCACCCAACACAACCCACATTCCTCCAGGCCCAAACAGCTGGCTCTTGGGCCACAGCTCGTGGACAGCAGGGAGTGGGCTGAGCTGGGCCTTCCTCAGCCTCCTAAGGACCCCAGCCTCTCAGCCAAGCAGCCCAGCCCAACTCTAACCCAGATCCCTCCTCCAGTGCTGTGAGTGGGATTCAGGTAGCTGGCCCAGCAAGGGAGCCCAGGGTTGGTCCGGCAGGGTACAAGGCCAGGATGGAACTGTCCCGACCCAGGGCTGCCCTGGGAGTGGGGTCTAGGCCTCAGAGCTGACAGAGGCCTTTGTGCAATGCTCAGGCAGGCACTACACTTCCCAGGACATCTCTCTCCAAGGCCCGCCCTCTTTCTTGCAGACTGCACCAGCTGCTCCGCTGGCCCCTCTGTTCTGCCAGCCCTGGGGGGGAGGGGGGTCAGCTCAGATGTGGCTGCTGAGAGCAGGAGGATGGAGGTCAACCCCATCTGAGGATCGATCAGCCATCAGAGGAGCCCCCTGTGGTGGCTTCCACCCCCTTCCACCATCTGCTGTCTGGCCTCTGAGCTCCAGAGAGTAAATGGAATCAGACTAGCCTCGCCCCTCCTTATTTTCCGCCCCATCCAGGCGACTGACACCCCAAGATGGCGACCCTAGCCCTGCTTGCCATTGTCCCCCAGGTGCCCCTAGGGTCCCCTTGGACCTTGAGGTATCTCCAGGGGTCTCAAGGTCACAACCTGAAATAATTCAGGTGACTCACCCCCACCCTCCCTCAAGCACTGAGCACACCAGGCCAGGGGGCCAGCACAGCCCTACTTTAAGTGTTAAGATACCCAGGCTCCCTCCCGCTTTGCCAGAAGCCACCCAGATGGAAAGGTGCAAGCTTGGGCCTCAAACCTGACCCGGGACACTGGTCTCCACTAGGGGGATGAAGTGGGCCATGTGCAAAGGGTCTAGAGCGGTGGTCGCCAACTGGTGGTCCCGACCGTGAGGTCCTAAAGGTTGGCGACCGCTGGTTTAAGGAAACCTTTGGAGCAGTGGTTGCCAACTGGTGGTCCATGATGTCTGAAAGGTTGGTGACCGCTGGCCTAGAGTATCCATATCCCTGTCCTCTCCCAGTTGGAGCTTCTATTCCCCAGATAATCATCAGAGACCCTCCCTCAAAGGGCAGGGCCTGGGGAAGTATCAACCAAGGAAAGTCCCCATGAGAGTAGCATGATTCCCCCATTTTACAGATGAGAAAACCAAGGCCCAGGGACTTATAAAATCCTGCCAAAGGGTGCCCAGCAAGGCTGATCCATGGGTTTTGGGGTCCAGGAGCTGATAGAGGTCAGAGGCTGGCCCCCGACCTACCCAACAAGCCATTATCTCTTTCCTCACCCTGGAAACTAAACTGGCTCTGCAGACACCTGACCCACACCCTCTCTCCAGGAACACATCTCACCTGCCTACCATGCCCAGAGCCACTGCCCCATCTGGGTCTCTCAGGGTTCTCCCTCTAAGAAAGAAGCGAAAGAGCCTGTTAGATGGGAAAAGGACAGCTGAGCCCTCTTGGTGGGTCAGGTGGGGCCTGGAAGGAAAACACCCACTGTGTGCCCTGGGATTGTCTCAACAGGAGCTTCACCTAGAAGGTGCTCTGGAAGTGGGGGTTTCCTTGGTAGTGACAATCCAACAAAACTTCTCTCCTCCAGGAAAGTACCACCCCCAGGACAGCCAGTGCTAGGGTCCCCAGAGCTCAGGATCACCTGGGTTGTCCTTCATCACAACTCCACCCCCCGGAGAGCCTGCCCTCCTGGGATTTCCGGGGCCTCTGTTGACTCCTCAAGCTAAGGGGCAGGCCTCAGCAGGCTCCTCCTGGGCTGGAAGTGGGGTGCCCTCCTCCCTCTGGGCCACTCCTAGGCCCCTATGCTGGGCCCTCCCTTGGGTGGCGCACAGTAGGAGCACAGCATTCAACAAGAACCAAAGACGCTATGGGCTGGAGAGAGCCCACACCCAGCCCCACCCACCCAGCTAACTGACACACCCAGGACCAGGGGACAGTGCTGCTTCCACCTCCCATCTAACTTAGGATCACTTAGGAGGCAGGACCTCCTCTGGTGGGTTTCCTCCGTGCCTGGGAACTTTCAGGAACCAGGCATCTTCATTTCATCCTCTCCACAATAAAGCCCTGGGTTTTACAGAGGAGGAGACTTGGAGAGATGACAAGACTAGCAGCCAGGTGGGGACTAAGACTCTGACCTGAGCTGGCCTGAATTGCTGCCTCTCAACAGCAGGGACACAGGGGTGAGGTCAGGAATGCCTTGACCTGGTCCCACGAACAGCAAGTGTCATCCAGGAAGGACCCCAACATCATAGGAAGGGTGTCCCGGGCATGGGGGACAGCAGAGGAAAAAGACTGGAGGAGGGTGCTTAGGAGAGGGTACTTGGGGAAGGAGAGGCTGCATTAACAAGCGGCTTTCCAAGGTCAGGCAAAAGGTGAGGATTGGGGCTGGGCCTCCTCCTCCCACCCACACTCCTCAGGAAAAACAGGGGATGGCCAGCAGGGGGTAGGCAGGTCATCACCAGCCAAGGCCTTCCTGGAGGAGTGTTTGGGACAGGGGCCGCTTCATTAGGGGGTCAAGACCCCTGCATTCCCCCACCCAGAGAATACAAAAAGAAACCAAAGAGACATTAAACACCTACTATGTGCCAGGCCTGGAAGCCCAGATCCAAACCCCAACTCCTCCACTTCCAAGCTGGGTGACCTTGGGCAAGAGGCAGCAACCCTCTGTGCCTCAGTTTCCTCAGGGGTCATGACAGTGTTAAGAGGGCTGGTGGTACTCTAGGTCCAGAGTCCCACTCTCATCCATTCAGCAAACATTGCCTGGGGACCTACTATGTGCCAGTGCAACCCCAACAAGGCTGTTCGCCTCCCCCTTGTGGATGAGGGGCTTTTTTAACTTCATTTCTGAATGTTATTCCAGCCACCTCACCACCCACTCTGTGCCAAGGAAGTGGGTCATGGTGCCCAAGGAAGAAACCAGGGGAGCAAAACCAGGCCCAGAGAGGGTGGGCGGCTGGTCCAAGGTCACAAAGCAAGCCTAGTGCCCAGGTTCAGCTGCCAGGCTCACGCCCGGCCGCCCCCTCCCCCTCCCAGGCACACAGCCTGTGTTGCAAGGTTGGTCCCGCCGGGTTACCCTGCCCTGACTTGGTGCCAATCCCCGCCTGGCCAGTCCCTGGCTGGGGGTTTAATGGGACAGGAATTCAGCATCTCGATTGGGGGGGGAGGGGGCAACAAAGGCCCAGAGTGGCTGCTGGCTGCCCCCTGCCAGCCTGCCCCCTACCCCCCTGCCCTCACAGGCCTCCCTCTGGCCAGACACCAGCAAACAGGCCTTCGGCCATTTTATGTGTCCATTTATTGCCCTAAATGGGGAGGGGCTTCCTGCCCCAGCCTTAAAGGGCCAGAGGCAGGAAGGCTGCAGGCCTAGTGGGAAGTGTTTGTGTGGGGGTGAGGGTGGGAGGATGAGGTCATGGGGATCCCATCTGACCCCCAACTCATGGGTGGGGCTCAGGCTCACCCTGTTCCCACGCTTTGAGTGCTGTCATGGACCAGGAAGTACAGCCCCAACACCAAGACTGGGTTCCAAGAGGAAGCCCCGGGAAGACAGCCATTCAGGGTGAGGTAGAAGGAAGCAGCTTCCCGTCACTGCAGTAAGCAAAGCCGGGCTTCGAAGAATCCCATCACTGTCTACCCTGCCTTGCTCAGGCTGCACCTGCTTATCCAAGATGCCCGAGAGAGGCCTGGGTGACCTCTAGGAGCTCTGCTCCTTCTGCTTCCAGACCTCTCCTTCTCCCTCCCCCAGGCCTGCTTGTCACCTGGAGCACTGGCGGTGGCACAACCCCCACCCCCACCCCCAGCAGGTGGAGGTCTCTGCGTGGAAGCCCTAAAAGGGGGCTCAGTCTGTTGAGGTCCTAGTGTCCTGTGCCCATAAATCCAGCCAGTTCCCTCCCAAAAAACACATCCTGATGGGAGGTGGGACTAGGCCTTGTTTTCCAGTTAAACCAGAAAGGTGTGGGTGGGGAAGCTTCTACCAAGTGGCTGTCCACAGCCTGCTGGGAGGACAGATGGAGGGGCTGGTCCTTTGGCCATGCTCCTCAGAAGAGCCAGATTCTCCAGGTGGCACCAGCGCTTTGGTGCTCCAAGCACGGGCCTCGGCCCTAAGGACAGTCGAGGTCTGATCTCAATGATCTCAACATCCATTCTTACAGCCCTGGGAGGCAGGGTCACTGCCCCACTTTACAGCAGGAAACTGAGGCTCCGAGAGAGAAAAGCCACTTGCCCAGGTACACAGCAGAGGTGGATTTGATCACCAGCCACCTGGCCCCATCTGGCCTAACTAGTCTTCCCAGGGCTCCTTCCCCTCCCCCACCAGACTGCCCCTAGGTACCAGCAGATGACTAAATCCCCCACCCTGGGGGCCTTGGGGCTGAGGGACAGCTTATTCTCACGCCCCCTCAGAGCTGCCTTATGACGGCCCAGAAAAGGAAAAGGCTTGCCAGAGGTCACACAGGGCACTTGGGGCAGGGCTGGAGTCCAGCCAACATCTGTGAATTCAGGGAAGGGCCCTGACCCCAAGGGGCATCAACACAGGCATGCAGGAGGGGCTCCCCCGAGGTCCTGACACTGCACAGCAGTCGCTCAACAAACATTCCTGAGGAATCACTGAGTGTCCTCACAACACACTGTTGGGCCGAAGGTAACCTCCTCATGGTACTGATGGGAAAATTAAAGGTGGCAGCGGGGAAGTGACCTCCCTCCGTGGACCTCAGGTGGAGCCAAAGGCCAGGCTGGGATTGGACCACACTGGCCCCCACCCAAGCCTGTTCCTCTGGTCCCCACTGACCAGGGCTGCCGCCGGGTGGTTTATGGTCTCTCAGGTGCCTGGAACCAAGGTGACAGGTGGGGATGCCGAGTGTCTCAGGCACCCAGCAGGCGCAGAATCCCTGTTGTTCCCTGAGCTGACCCAGGTGCTTCCTCCATGAGAGAAAAAGAGAAAACAGGTCGTCTACAAGCACCACCTGGGGGACCCTACAACAAGTCTATGTTACGGGGGGGGGGGGGGGAGACACAGGCTTCGAGAGGCCAAGGGGCATGTCCAAGGTCACAGATCAAGAGCACTGGCACTGGCAACCCCAGCAGCTCCCCTCGTAGGGCTGGCTCTGCTTCAGAGGGGCTGGCCCTGAGTCCTGGCTCTCGTGAGGTGACCTCCTCAGGTGTAATGGGTCATAAAACAAAGAGCCCTGCCCGTCTCTGATGGCCAAGGTGCAGGACTGCGGCTTGGAGGGGGCAAGAAAGGGCCTGGCAGGCCTTAAAGGTGCCTGCCAGGGAAAGCTGGGAGACAGGGAACTGGGACTCGTGCTGTGTGACCTTGGGCACCTCAGGTTCTCTCTGAGCCTCATTATTCTTTGGGCAAAGGGTTTAATAAGCCCCGGGAAGACTCCATTTGGCCAACAGGTGCCTGCTGTCAACCTCCTGGCCCTCTGGAAGACAGGTGGGCAGACGGCCCTCAGCTGGGACGCAGGGAGGACTTTGGACAAGTCCTGAGCCGGAAGGCAGACCACAGGGGTCAGACCCAGCTTTGGCTGGGTGACCTTGGGCTGCTCTCTGCTTCCCCTGGGCCTCAGTCTCCCCTGCCCAACAAGGAACCCACTCTGAGGTTGCTGTAAGCCCCTGACTTCCCACACTCGTGTTTAGCCTCCCCTCTGAGCCTTGGTTTCCTCAAATGTTGTTGGGGACTGCCACCGGCCTGACCCAGCTGTTGGTCAGAAGGCCCCAAGGAAAAGAAAGGAAGTAAAAAAACAAACACAGGACTTGCTACTGCCCTGGAACCTTCCCCACTGGACGAAGGCTGTGCTCTGCCTGCTGGGTCTCAGTCTCCCACACAGAAAAAGGGACGCATCCACTCCCTGCAGCCACCCCAGCAGCTTCTCCGAGGGCCTCTGCTCAGAGCTGTATGGCTCCCAGCACGCCAGGGTGCTGACTGGCCACCCGGCAGCCAATCAGAACTGAATAATAAATACCCCCCCAAAGTGACCCACGAATTAAAATTTCAGTGTCCCCGATGGCTCCTCTTTCTTCATTAGGCATGCGGATCCCAGGGCTTCGCTCTTCCAGCCACTGGCTCCTGCCCCCCCTACTCCCCCAGGCTCTTGTCTCCACAGCGATGGCTGGCGGTAAACAGAGACCCGAGCCCAGCTGATAAGTGCCTGGCATGCTCTAGGAGCCCCACTGGGGGGTGGTCCTGGGGGAAAATGCCCCAGGCCTGGAGCAGCAGGGCCGGCCTGGACTCCCCAGACCTCTCCCAAGACCAGCTCTGCCAATAGGAAGTGATTGGCTGGTCCTGGGGAGGGCCCCCCCAGTGTGGGAGCGGCACACTCAGGGTTACGCCCTGGCCGTGTTGGGTGTGTGTGGGGGGGTGACATGGAATTCTAGCCGCCCTTTCCCTCTCAGGCCAACCCTGCTCCTGAAGGCAGCTGGCAGGGAGAGGGGAAGCACACCAGGCCTGCCACCCATGGGTGAGCCAGGTGGGCACGCCCGGGGAAGGGGCACCAACACCTCTTACTTCCGCCACCTGGCTGGGGGAAGAGAGGAGCTGCCTGCCTCCCCCCCTGCCCATCTGCCAACTGCTGGCTGCATTCCCCAAATATTTAGTGAGTGCCCACTGGGCGCCCCGGCCTGGCTGGACAGTAATCTCTTGCTGCGGTCCACCCGGTTCCCCAACCAGCGCGGGCAGTGTCTCCCATAACCCGCAAAGGCCCGAGCCTGGGGGGGGGAGGCACTCAGCTCCAGCGCTTGGCTCAGGCCCCTGCCCGGTTCCCAGGCCCCGCGCTGGGGGAGAGGGCCGGCTCCTAGCCTAGGGAGGGAGGCGGAGGGCGGGAGGCAGCCAGATCCCACCAAGTCCTCTGCCCGGGCTCAGGCTTCGCACGTGGTGGTGGCGTCAAAGGAAAGGAGGGGGGGTCTGGGCCAGAGGAGACAGGGTCACGCGCTTTGGGGGCGCGGGCGGCGGAGAGGCGTGTTCCCTGCCCCCTCTCCCGGGGCCGGGGCCGGGGCCAGGCGGCGGCGCGGGTAGGGCGAGGGGCCAGGCCGGTCCCCCCACCCAGGGATGAGTCAGGCCCGGGCAGGGGCAGGAAGCGGCCCCCTCCCCCGCGCCGGCCGCAGCGCACGGCCCCCGCCCCGGCCTGCGGGGCCCGCCGCACCGCCCGACCGGGGGGCTCCTACCTCCTTCCCGGGTCAGCGGCGAGGGGGCCCGGCCCCGGCGGCGGCGGCGGCGGCGGCGGCAGGGCAGGCTTCCTCCGAGGGGCCGGGAGACGGCAGTGAGCCTGGCTCCGCGCCACCCCCCGCCGCCGGCGGCCAATCCCCACCCGGACTGGGGGGAGGGCGATGCAAATTACCCCGGATCTGGGTCCGCCCGCCCGCCTTCCCCACGCCCGGGCCCGGCCTGCACTAGGCCGCGCATCCCCGGGCTCGCAGGAGAGGCGCGGCCGCTCCGGCCGCCGCCCTCCCCGGGGAGCACCGGGTGGGTGACAACCCCCCCCCCCCGACCGGGGCAGGGGGCCGAGAAGAGGGGGGCTGGGGACGGTTACACAACCAGGCAGGGAGGGGCCCCGGGGCGGGAAGGGGGCCGGCCCGCGGGCCGCGCAGCCGGAAGCCGGGGACCGCCACCGGCCCCCGGCGAGGGGAGCCTAGCTTCAGGCTCCGCCCCCGAGCCTGCTGGGCCCGCCCCTGCGCCGCACCGCGCGATCGGCCCGCGCCCATTGGCTTGCAGGCCCGCCACTCACCGCCCCTCCTCCGCACCGCCCCTACCCGCGTGCCGCGGCGGGCCACCGACGCGGGGCACCCTGGGACTCGTAGTCCGAGCTGCCTACCACCTGCCTGCCGCAAACGGCAGGAAGACTACGACGCCCAGAGGAGTCCGCGGGCGCGCCCGCCCACCCGGACACCCTACCCCTTCCCCCTCCTTTGCAAAGCCCCCCTCCCTGTTTCTCAGCCCCCTCCCCCCTATATCCCATGGAGCTCAATCCTGGCCAATTCCAACGTATACACGCAGCACCGAATTGGCCCCGGGAAGTGGGGAGAGCGCCCCCAGTACTCAGCAGCAAACTTAGCACGCGACGCGGCCCCCTTCTTCCCACGCCGGCTCCCCCACCCTCAGTGCAGCCCCGCTTCCCCTCCCCCGCTTTCCGCGCGCCTGGGAGCCCCGAAAAGCCATGCACCCGGGGGGTGGGGAGCAGGCAGTTGGCGCACAAGCCCATGCACTTCGCCCCCAATTCCACCTCCCAGGAGGCGCCCCCTCCCCGGGCTCGGGATCCAGAGCGCCTCCAGCCTCCCGGCAGCTGCAAACCACCCCCTCCTCTGAAACTTGCGGGACGTCCCTGGCTCCCCGGGTCTCCCCTTCCCGAGAGAGCACGGGTGGGCGCAGAGCCCCCGGTTCGTCCTCGCACTGCACCCTGTGCTGGGGACCGCGCCGGGCGCTGACTTACCTCGCGGGGCCGGGCCGGGGCCGGGCTGGGCCGGGGCGCGCGGGACCGGGGCCCGGAGTTGGGACTGGGCTCCTCACCCGCTCGCCTCCGGGGTCTGCGTCTCGCTCTTCCCCTCGCTCGCCCTCCCCTCGTCTCTCCCTCGCTCCGGCGGCGGCGGCGGCGGCGTCACTGCCCCTACAGTAACTGTACAGTACAGCCAAAGCCCCGTATGATGCTCGCGACTCCCTTCCTGGTTTCTCCGAGGGCAAGAGGGGTCCTCCCTTGTCTTAAAGGTGCCGCAGCCGCCGGCCCCCCCCCCCCCCGCGCCCAGCCCGCCCCCCCCTCCCCGGCCTCGGAGGCCAGAACAGGCTCGGCAGGTCCCCTCTTGCCACGTCTCTGCCCTCCCGTGGGGCTTCGCCCGCTGCGCCAGGGAGACCGAGCTGTTATTAGGTTTTGTCAAGTTGGGGGGGGGTCCAGCCCGCCCCCAGGGTGCCCCCCTTCCTCTGACCTCTCCGCCCCGCTGCGCGGCGCCGTGCCAGCTTGCCAGCTTATCTGGCCCCAGAGCTCCCCGGGGCGCGGGGGGAGCGGGCCCCCCGGGGTGGAGGGGGTGGGGGACGCCAGATAAACAGGCCCCCAGCCTCCGCGCAGGGGCGGGTGCGCGGGGGGGCGCGCGCTTTGCCCCCGATGCCTGGGGCGTGGCAGGATGGCAGCGGGGGCGGGGAGGGCTGTGCGCACTGCTAGGACCGACGCGGGCGTGGGTCGCGGCTGCCCCGGCAGCCGAGGGAGGCGGAGGGGGGGCAACGGGGTGGGAACCCTGGGCCGGCCGCCGGCGCTCCCGGGGCCTCAGTTTGCCCCGCCGCAGAAGGAACCTGGGGGCGGGCTTTGGGGTGACTCCTCGGGTCCGCTGGGCTCCCGGGTCCCTAAAAGAAACAGCCAACCTGCCCGCCCGCGATTATATAAAGGAGTCGCCTCCGCCCGCTGCGCCAGAGGCTAGCGGGGTAGGGGTTGGCGAGGGGCGGGCTGGGCGGTTGTTTTCCAGGCTTCCCGAGCTCCCCCACCCGACAGCGGGCGGCTGGGCGGGACAGGGACCCGGCCCCGGACGCCCGGGTCCTGCGGGCCGCTCCCCAAAGGGTCTGCGTGGCTCCGGAGGGGCGGAGGTGGGGAGTGGGGAGGCGTTGGCTCAGCCAACTTTTTTTCCCCTTGTCCATTTCTCCCACTTCCTCCCCGGTCGTGGGAGAGGTCTGGCGGGGGACGGGGGAGGAGGGGACGGCGGGGAGAACAGCCTGACCCGGGCCGGCCGCTGCCCTGCCCGCTGCACACAGTAGGCGCCCGGGGGGGAAGGCTGGCTGGTGCCATCAGCCGCCTGCGGGGCGTCGGGCCTCAGTTTCCTCTTCCTCGTTCCCATGGACCGAGAGGGTTGCCACCTGCTACAGCTGCCGTTCACTGAGCATTTCTCAAGTTGCTGGCTCTGTCCGGGGTTCTGTTGACCTCCATTGGAACATCTAATCGCACTGTCATGATCATTAGTTATTAGAATTATTACCACCATTACCTGACAGGCAGGAAACGTCGGCCACCAGAGGTGGAATGGACCCTGTCTGTCCTCTGGACGTCAAAGCTTTCCTCCCCTCCCCTCCCCTCCTCACTTGATTGCCTTGTCACGCAAAGTGTTAAAAGAGCCTTTAAACTCCCAAACATTGGATCGGCTTTTGTAATAATAATTTGGCTTCAAGGGGAACCCCAGGAGACCACCAGGGGGGAAGTGACAGCCCCAGGACGAGAAGCCTTAAACTAGCCCCGATTAGGTGGGAAGGGACTGAGGGAGGGGCCGGTGGATACAGGGAGAGGGTGGAACCAGGGACTTTGCTCTAACGACCCTGCCTGGCACCGAAGCCCTGCTTCCTTCTTTCACCACCCTGCTATCAGCCCTGGGACTAAAAGGGCCCAGTGGCAGCACCATGTGCAGGTCTCAGGGTTGCGCTTGGACTCCTGCAGATAACCCAAGTTCAGGCCTTAGTCCCCAATCGTTTTAGCCTCCCCACCCCCTCCTAAGCTCCTAGCGGTGAGTCAGTTTCCCTACCGCCGCCACCACCACCCAGCCTCAGATACCCTGCATTGGTTCTCCACAGTTGATAACCTGACTCAGAAGGGGAAGGGAACTCCGGTGTGAAATTGGTATTTACTCTAATCCTGATGACTCCCTGGGGAAAAGCAGGGGTTCTATGATTGATTCCACCTTACATTTGAGGAAACTGAGGCCCAGGGAGGGACCATGAGCAAGGATGTTGACACCCGCATTCACCTGGCTCTGGACCTTGCCAGGACGCTGGGGGTGGAGTCCTTCGGGAATTGCCAGGTGGCATACCCCTACTCCATGCACACTCCTGGCTGGGTAGTGAAAACAGAAGGAGGGAGGGAGGCAAAGATTTATCCTGACACCTCAGTCTCTACTCCCCCCCCCAAAAAAATACTCAAGTAGACACTGTTTTGAAACCTAGTACATTAGACAAGATTGATTCACTGAGTGGCCTCTCTGATTCTCAGTCTTTTGGAGAGAATAATGGTGGAGACTTCCTAAGGCTGTGACAAGGGAGAAACAAGATGGTGCCTAATAGGAGGAAAACCCTCAATACATGATAGATGTGATTGTGTTGTTGTTGTTATTATTACTGCTATTATTATTATCTGTGCAGAGATGAAATATTTCCAAAGGTGAAAAAGTCATGTCTAGCCTGTGTGGCTCAGTGGTTGAGCATAGACCTATGAACCAGGAGGTCACCGTTGGATTCCTGGTCAGGGCACATGCCCGGTTGCAGGCTTGATCCCCAGTGGGGGGAGTGCAGGAGGCAGCCAATTAATGATTCTCTGTCATTATCTCTCTCTCTCTCTCTCTCTCCCCTTCCTCTCTGAAATCAATACAAAAATTTTTTTTTTTTTAAAAAAAGAAAGTGAAAGAAAACACACAGAATGGGAGAAAATATTCGCAAGTCATAGATCTGGTAAGGGTCTACTACTTAGAATATATAAAGAAACCTTGTTGTGTAACCACTATGCTACACACCTAAAACTAATACAAAATAATATTGACTGTAAAGTGTAACTGAAAAATACATTTTTAAAAAAAGAAACCTTGCCCTAACCAGTGTGACTAAATGGTTAGAGCATTGGCCTGAGCACTGAAAGGTCCCGGGTTCACGGGAAGCAACCAATTGATGTGTCTCTCTCACATCACTGTCTCTCTCTCTCTCTCTCTCTCTCTCTCTCTCTCTCTCTCTCTCTCTGTCTCCTCTCCTCCCCTCCCTTCCACTTTCTCTAAAAATCAATGGAAAAAAGTGTCCTCAAGAGAGGATAACAACAGCAACAGAAAAGAAACCTTGAACTCAACAATTAAAACACAACCAAAATTTTTTAATGGGCAAAGGATTTGAATAGACATTTCTCCCAAAAAAAGATATGCAAATGACCAATAAAGCTCATGAAAAGTTGCCCAACATCCTTAGTCATTAGGGAAATGCAAATCAAACCACCAGGAGACACCACTCACCCCCACAAGAGGCTAGAATAAAAAGGATCCACACTACCAAGTGTAGGTAAGGGCAGGGAGGACCCAGCCCTCGTCCACAGCGGGTGGGCATGGAAAATGGTGCAGGTGCTGTGGAAAACAGTCTGGCGGTTCCTGAAAAGGTGATCATGGAGTAACCATCTGACCCAGCAATTCTTTTTTAAAAAAAAATATATATTTCTTTATTTAAAAAATATATATTTTATTGGTTTTTTACAGCGAGAAAGGGAGAGGGAGAGGGATAGAGAGTTAGAAACATCAGTGAAAGAGAAACATCAATCAGCTGCCTCCTGCGGGACCCCTACTGGGGATAGAGCCCACAACCCAGGTATATGCTCTTGGCTGGAATTGAACCTGGGACCCTTCAGTCTGCAGGCGGATGCTCTATCCACTAAGCCAAACCGATTAAGGCAGCAATTCCATTTTTTAAAACAAAATATTTTTATTGATTTCAGAGAGAGGAAGCAAAGGGAGAGAGAGAGAGAGCTAGAAATATCAATGATGAGAGAGAATAATTAATTAGCTGCCCCCTGCATGCCCCCTACCTGGGAAAGC